GGAGAGATTTGATTTGTTAAAATCTCCAAGAATTATTAAAATAGAGTCTGGGTACCTTTGCTCCATTTCAGTTATTTGTTCGGCCAGCTGTTGCATCGCGGCGCTCACGCACGCGTCCGGAGGCGCGTAGTACACATTCACGAGAATGAAAGAGGAAAACTCCCACGGCTAGTAGAAAGGTTTACAGTTTATGATGAGTGCCTCTAAGTTAGGACAGCATACCTTTTTCAGCATTGTTACATCTGAACACCAACTTTCGTTAATGTAGAAACACAATCCACCACCTCTCGTTTTCCCTGTTAACTCCGCGATGCGATTCGCTCTGAACAGCTGGTAGCCCGGCAGATGAAGCGCGTTATCTGGAATGGCTTCACTCAGCCAGGTTTCAGTGAAACACAGTGCAGCAGAGTTTGAAAAGTCCTTGTTGGTGCGGGTGAGGAGAAGAAGTTCATCCGTTTTGTTAGGAAAGGAACGGACATTCGCGATACGGTACTGTTCTAGTGAATAACGGTTTCCAATTCATTTGGTAAATGAGCATATACACATATACACTTGTACACTTTGTTTGACAATAAAGCTTTGGTTGTTGTACCTTTCCTTGAGTACTTGGCTTCGATATTCTGATTTGCGAAAGTTTCACAGTATAGCTTTTGTCAGTTAACCCTTTCTTGATCCCTTAACTTAACTATTCTGATCTGAAAAATTTCACAGTGCAGTGTTGGTCAGTTAACTCTTCCCTGATTCATTTACATCACTATTTTGATTAGTGAAAACGTTCACAGTGCAGTTATGGTCAGATAACGGTTCAGTCAGTAACATCACCATTCTGACCTGTGAAAGATTTCACAGTTCACTACGCGTCAGCTGACCCTACCCTGAGTCATGTACATCACTATTCTGATCTGTGAAAATTTCACAGTTCAGTACAGGTCAACTGACCCTTCCCTGAGTCATGTACATCACTATTCTGATCTGTGAAAATTTCACAGTTCAGTACAGGTCAACTGACCCTTCCCTGAGTCATTAACATCACTATTATGATTTGTGAAATCTTTCACAGTTCATTATGGGTCAGCTGACCCTTCCCTGAGTCATGTACATCACTATTCTGATCTGTGAAATCTTTCACAGTTCAGTACGGGTCAGCTGACCCTTCCCTGGGTCACTAATATCACTATTCTGATCTGTGAAAACTTTCACAGTTCAGTACAGGTCAACTGACCCTTCCCTGAGTCATTAACATCACTATTATGATTTGTGAAATCTTTCACAGATCATTATGGGTCAGCTGACCCTTCCCTGAGTCATGTACATCACTATTCTGATCTGTGAAAACTTTCACAGTTCACCAGGGGTCAGTTGACCCTTCCCTGAGTTAGTAACATCACTATTCTGATTTGTAAACACTTTCACAGTGCAGTTATGGTCAGATAACGGTTTCCTGAGTCACTAACATCACTATTCTGATCTTTGAAAACTTTCAGTGAAGTGAGTGAAGTGAAGTGACATGTGGCCAAGTATGGTGACCCATACTCGGAATTAGTGCTCTGCATTTATCCCATCCAAAGTGCACACACACAGCAGTGAACACACACACACCGTGAACACACACCCGGAGCAGTGGGCAGCCATTTTTTGCTGCGGCGCCCGGGGAGCAGTTGGGGGTTCGGTGCCTTGCTCAAGGGCACCTCAGTCGTGGTATTGAAGGTGGGAGAGAGCGCTGTACATTCACTCCCCCCACCTACAATCCCTGCTGGTACGAGACTCGAACCCGCAACCTTTGGGTTACGAGTCCGACTCTCTAACCATTAGGCCACGACTTTCACAGTTCACTACGGGTCAGCTGACCCTTCCCTTGGTTACTAACATCACTAATCTGATCTGTGAAAACTTTCACAGTTCAGTAAGGGTCAGCTGACCCTTCTCTGAGTCATTTACATCACTATTCTGATCTGTGAAAACTTTCACAGTTCAGTACGGGTCAGTTTTTACAGATCAGAATAGTGATGTTAATGACCCAGGAAGGGTCAGCTGACCCGTACTGAACTGTGAAAGTTTTCATAGATCAAAATAGTGATGTACATGACTCAGGGAAGGGTCAGCTGACCCGTACTGACCTGTGAAAGTTTTCACAGATCAGAATAGTGATGTACATGACTCAGGG